AGAGACTCCCACAGGGCCTCAACTCAGTCTCCAAATCACTTAAAGTGTTGCTGTGCTGAGACACCTGAGCCTCGTGCTGATCCTGTTTGTGTGAATGAGATTACAGATAACCCGGGTCACAGCAGATTACTGATTGCATTGATTTGATCAGATTAAAGAATATACACCATATGCATAAACACATATCTCCCCCACATTTACAATAAAATAAAAACGATCTTATCTTGCTCTCCCTCAGAAAGTCCAGATGATGTTTCGTGACTCACTCTGATCCCGCCTCCAGTCAAACTGTCTGATCTGACACATCTGCACATTCACACTCATACAAACTGTTATTTTTAATGTATTTAATACCCTTTTTCTCTCACACACAAACACATCCTGTGATAAGTATCTGTCAGTGATTTGACATGCACGCAAGGCAACATCTCAGTCACTATTCACAGTTTGAAATAGTGGCCGAATGAAGCACATTTTTTAATTCGGCTCCACATCTGCTCTCTCTTTTTTACTTTGATTCTGGTTGCATCATGGCACAGCTCAAAAGATACCCAGTGAAGCCTGAGCATACCGGTCTGTGGTGCAAAATCCATCCATTAAAAGCTACTTGCATTTAATAGGTGTCGTATAAAACAAAACAAAAGAAGTATAGACGTAGTTATTGATTTAAAAACAAACCATAATCCGCAGTTTACGGACATTTCTGCAGCAGCAGGATCATTATCTGTCCTCATGCTGCCCCCTTCTGGAGACAGGCTGTCATTACAATCAGAGTAAATCTGTGCTCAGTAAGTACATTTACTCATTCACTAACTTAAGTAAAATGTTGAGGTACTTGTACTTTACTTGAGTATTTCAATTTGTTGCTACTGTGTACTTCTACTACACTACAATTCAGATGTAAATGGTGTACTTTCACTCCACTACATGTATTTACGGTAAATACCTTTAGTTACTTTACAGATCTGGATGAATGATGTGAGATATAATCAAGTCTTAACCCCTTGTATGATAATCGGGTCTGTGGGACCCGTTTTCATTATCTAGGTAAAGAAAAATGATATCATCAATTATGTTTAATAACTCACACTCAATGGCCTTGGCTCATTTTCTGTGAAGAACATATATCAGAACATTACATACAGGGTGTACGGGTGGAAATTGTAGGTCCTGCACCTATCTGGGCCTTGTGTGTGTGTGTGTGTGCGTGTGTGTGTGTGTGTGTGTGTGTGTGTGTGTGTGTGTGTGTGTGTGTGTGTGTGTGTGCGCGCGCGCGTGCATGAGTGTGTCTGTGTGTGCGCGTGTGTGTGTCTGTGTGTGTTTTTTATTTTTGTGTGTTTCTGACCCTGCCATTCCCGCACAAGGTTGCAACATTGTTGATAAACTCAAGCACCGACACCTCTCTGCTCTCACATTCCCACATTATGTCTGTTTTTATTGATTTTAAAATGAAACCATAATCCGCAGTTTACTGACATTTCTGCAGCAGCAGGATCATTATCTGTCCTCATGCTGCCCCCTTCTGGAGACAGGCTGTCATTACAATCAGAGTAAATCTGTTGTTTAAAAAAAAAAAATACATAAATACAATTTTGAGGTGCTTGTACTTTACTTGAGTATTTCCATGTTTGGCTACTTTGTACTTCTACTCCACTACATGTATGTAATACCTTTAGTTACTTTACAGATCTGGATGAATGATGTGAAATATAATCAAGCCTTAACCCTTGTGGTGATCGGGTCTGTGGGACCCGTTTTCATTATCTAGGTAAAATGATATCATCAATTATGTTTTCAAACTCACACTCAATGGCCTTGGCTCATTTTCTGTGCAGAATATATATCAAAACACATTTTCAATTGCCCTCTCCCGGTTTCCTCCCGGGGTCATATTTCTCCCGCATTTCTCCCGATTTCTGACAAAATCAGATTTACTCAGGACTGTTTCCACTCGGACTTCAATACAGCTACACCATTGTTTGGTTTCCATGGTAGCGCGTCTCTTTAGTAGCGCACGCAACTGACAGTCTGAGAGGGTGAGGAAGAGAGTCACAGTAAACTGAACAAGAATCGACAACTCTCCTCTGCTCACTCCTTTCCATGCTACAGGCCGCAAGACAGTGCACTAACAACTACAATAAGCATGTTAATGTTAAGCTAATACAGCTCCGGCGATCCACTAGCCGCCCCCCCCCCCCCCCCCCCCCCCCCCTAGCTGTTTTGAAATGCTCCCACGATTTCTGAGGTCTCAAGGTTGGCAAGTATGCCCCCCCCCCTAAATCATATCATATATATTATTCTGAAATGGACCAATCTGCACAACGACTACTTTTACTGTTGCTACTTTAACTATATTTTGATGAGAATACTTTTCTACTTTCACTTGAGGAATATTTTGAATGCAGGACTTTTACTGTAACAGAGTATTCCTACACTCTGGTACTTCTACTTTTACTCAAGTACAAGGCCTGAGTACTTCTACTTTTACTCAAGTACAAGATCAGAGTACTTCTACTTTTACTCAAGTACAAGTTCTTAGTAGGCTACTTCTACTTTTTCTCATGTACAAGATCTGGTACTTCTACTTTTACTCAAGTACAATATCTGGTAGCCTACTTCTACTTTTACTAAAGTACAAGATCTGAGTACTTCTACTTTTACTCAAGTACAATATCGGAGTACTTCTACTTTTACTCAAGTACAATATCTGAGTACTTCTACTTTGACTAAAGTACAAGATCTGAGTACTTCTACTTTGACTAAAGTACAAGATCTGAGTACTTCTACTTTTACTCAAGTACAAGATCTGAGTAGGCCTACTTATACTTTTACTAAGTACAAGATCTGAGTACTTCTACTTTTACTCAAGTACAAGATCTGAGTACTTCTACTTTGACTAAAGTACAAGATCTGAGTACTTCTACTTTTACTCAAGTACAAGATCTGAGTACTTCTACTTTGACTAAAGTACAAGATCTGAGTACTTCTACTTTTACTCAAGTACAAGATCTGAGTAGGCCTACTTCTACTTTTACTAAGTACAAGATCTGAGTACTTCTACTTTTACTCAAGTACAAGATCTGGTACTTCTACTTTGACTAAAGTACAAGATCTGAGTACTTCTACTTTTACTCAAGTACAAGATCTGAGTAGGCCTACTTCTACTTTTACTAAGTACAAGATCTGAGTACTTCTACTTTTACTCAAGTACAAGATCTGGTACTTCTACTTTGACTAAAGTACAAGATCTGAGTACTTCTACTTTTACTCAAGTACAAGATCTGAGTACTTCTACTTTTACTCAAGTACAAGATCTGAGTACTTCTACTTTTACTAAGTACAAGATCTGAGTACTTCTACTTTTACTCAAGTACAAGATCTGAGTAGGCCTACTTCTACTTTTACTAAGTACAAGATCTGAGTACTTCTACTTTTACTCAAGTGTACTTGTATACAAAAACAAGAAGGGATAAAGTATATTTGACTTGCGCCACAGCAGCTCCATTTGCAACATCAACAAGGACAGATATTAAGAAACGAAGGAAACCATAAGATCAGGATCACTGAGAGAAACATGGCGTGCATTTGACCTGGGATTCAGCTCTGCAAAAACAACGTACTTTAAATATAAAACACACAATATTAAACATTAAGATTAACACATTAAAAGACAGATTAGAACTAAAATACGATGCCCAAGAAGTATCCCTGAGAATAAGAGTTCAAATCCACATGGCCCCGATAATGGGGTCATGGGGCTCTCAGTGACCTCAGTCTCCGGGTCATGCTGTCTGAAAACCCACACATGGCCGTGGCCTTAATGAGACTTCTTCGCTCATATATTATATATTTGTTGCTTTTTGTTTATTTCTCTGCGTCTGTGCGCCTGCCGTCTGGACGCTGACCTCTCGCTGAGCGGGTCATCACTCATGATGTCACAGCTCCTGGAAGTTCAGAGGTCACACTCTGACCTCTCAGGAAACCTGGGAGACTGACACACACATACTCTGATGAACTGTAGGGCGATCAAAGGTGAGTTAGTCTGAGACCTGGAGGCAGAGAGATCCAGACGAGTGTGTGAACCCGCTCAGATATCAGGACTAAAAATAGATTTGAAGAGATTTTCTCACAGACTGACGATCTGTTACTCCTTCCTTAAACAACGCTGATTTTTCCTACTTCTTTAATTCTGCAACGTTTTTTTAAATAGAGCAATATGAAAACATTTGACATGGTAAGTGTCAAGTGTGTGTGTGGTTTGCCCTATTAACCCTCTGAGGCACAACACAGGTCAAAAGTTGTATCTAACATGGATGAAGGAGCGGTTTTATCGAATCGAACGTGGGGGCATTAGGATATATACATGTGAAATGTATAAACTCAGAAATGATTATATTACAGATATTTTGTTGAGACATTGATGCCAAAAACAATTAATTAAGTCATCAAGTTTAGTTATGTTTGGTCTCTATAGAAATATAATCTTGACTCATCCTGGTGGGTATTTTTTTATGTCCAAAACTTTTATTTTGGTACAAAAACTATTTGTTTTAATGGGATTGACATATAATGTGAAATTTATATTACAAAGAAACAAATATATTTATTTATAAAAGATAATCACGTTTGACCCATATCCTGTGCATCAGAGGGTTAAGTAGAGGTCAGGGGGACTTTATTACTTTCTGACAATATGCTCTAGCATTTATATTTATTCATTAAAGATTGTTGCACAGATAATGTCAAACTCAGTTCTTTAAAAATATTATTATTAACAAAACATGAAATAAGACGCCCCGTGCTGTTAGAGAAATGTATCATGCACTAACACTGACTTCCCACTGAGTAGCAGATGATGCAATAGGGTCCTATGTAGTGCTACTATGCCATCATAACCCATGCATATACAAGAAAACACCTTTTGAAAAGCTGTAGTAGCTGAAAGGGAAGACGCCCCGTGCTTCACCCAACTCTTCATAAAAGGTTAAAAAATAAAACACTGAAATTCGTAATGTATTTTATTCTGTAGGCACTTTCAATTCACACAAAGAAAACAACGGTGCGAAAAAAATAAGTCTTCATCATTATGTCCTTTTGTACAGAAGTAAAGCAACACTGCCTCGTGTTTCTTCCGAGCTTCTAAACATGTCACACAGCTGTGGATTTAACCTCTCTGAGACTATAAGGATATTTCATCAATGCTCTATAATACATGTCAGCGTTTCTATGTGTGAGCATGGGCTTAGCTAGTGTTGGAAATCCTCTTATTAAACCCGACTTCTTACCTCTTGCAGTAATGTGAATCCTATGTTTAACTCAAAAACATCTATTTGTATATATATGTGTCAGTAATACCCATAAGAATGATATTACATGTCAGTTTAAGTTGCTTTAAGATAGCCTAAACGTATTTACTTTAAGATATATCCATCTATATGCAGTGGAAACATGAATGCTATCAGCAGAGTGCAACAATGTACAAGCACGGCACAAAAAGGAGAATGAAAGCATGAATCACAAAGGGACACGTGTGTGAAGAAGAGCAGTTTTTAGCTTCTCGGTGCTACAGGGAGGGAATGAATGTTCAGGAGGAGAAGAAGCAGGGACACAATGTTCCTTCAGGAGCTCTTGTCTTCGAAGTACGTCTGCTCGATGCGTCTGCAGAAGGAGAGCAGGTTACTGCAGCTCTTAATCCGCTCAGCCAGCTCTGTGCTGGTCAGTCTGGTGGTCAGGATGGTGAAGAGGTGACCGAACACCAGGGCGTCCAGCTCTGTGGGCCTGAAACACACACACACACACACACACACACATTATAGTGATAGCTGAAATCATCCATTCACTGAAGATTTTATAATTATTTACAATTCAGATGTAAATGTGTACTTTCTAAATTGGTATAACTTTGTGACACACACACACACACACATACACACACACACACACACACACACACACACACACACACACACACACACACACACACACACACACACACACACACACACACACACACACACACACACACACACACACACACACACACACACACACACACACTTACTGTTTATTGAAGAAGTACGGTTGTGTTCCCAGCCTCTGGGAGAGAGCCTGGCAGCACTGAGTCACATCGTCATACACCTGAAACAGACAAAAAGACATTAAATATGTAATGTTTGTATTCTTTAAGGGGCGGGTCATCTCTAAGCGGTTGACCAATCACAACAGAGCCGGCCAGCTAGCCAATCAGAGCAGACTGGGCTTTTTGAACATTAAAGCATGGAGACATGTCACAGTCGAGACACTACAGACTAGAATATCACCAATTCAGTAAAAAATGAATCTAGGTATGTTATTTGTTGTGTGGTTGCTAACCTGCTCCAGGGTTTTCCCTCCCCAGCCAATGGCGTTCATCTTCCTGCGGACCTCCCACTGCTTCTGATAGGCCAGGACGTTACTGAGAGGCCACGAGTAAGGACTGCTGTACCTGGGGCGGGAGATCTACACACAACACCACACACACACACACACACACACACACACACACACACACACACACACACACACACACACACACACACACACACACACACACACACACACACACACACACACACACACACACACACACACACACACACACACACACACACACACACACACACACACACACACACACACACACACACACACACACACACACACACACACACACACACACACACACACACACACACACACACACACACTGATTAAGAGGGAATAATCACAACTGTCACATATTTGTATTATCTACTGAGAATTTCACTCACCTCAGCAGCTGTGGCGTCATCACACCACTGGATGTACAACTGAAGAGAGGAGAGGAGACTTGAATTAGAAAAACATACAAAAAGTGTGTGTGTGTGTGTGTGTGTGTGTGGTCTAGCATTACTATACTTGTGGGGACCTAAATCTGTTTACACAGTCACGTGTGGGGACTCGCCTCCCTTATGGGGACAAAATGAAGGTCCCCATGAGGGGAATCATTAATTTTAGGGTGAAGACTTGGTTAGGATTAGGGTTAGGTTAAGGGTTAGGGTTAGGGTTAGGGTTAGGCATGCGTTGGTTATGGTTATGGTTAGGATAAGTGTCCAGGAAATGCATGTAAGTCAATGTAATGTCCCCTGAAGTGATGTATACATGGTGTGTGTGTGTGTGTGTGTGTGTGTGTGCGTGTGCATGTGTGCGTGTGTGTACCTCAGCAGTTAGCAGCATGTTGTTGACGAGCTCCATGTACGCTTTCATTTCAGCTCTCTGAACATCATCTAATCCATCGCTCAGAGAATTACCCTGAGGAAATGTAAAACACAGAATAAGAAAATAAACAAGAGCTCCTAACTTGACTTTTATTGATGACACTTTTAGGAGATTCATGTCTGAGTGTTTAGCTTTGAAACATCTGTGATACACACCTTAGCTTTCGTGAACTGCACTATCGGCCCCAGCTCGGACACCACCTGGTTCCCAACGTGGATAAAGGGAATCTTACCTAGAAAGGCAACACATAAAAGACGCCAGAGAGAGGGAGAGAAAAGTGGTTTTATTCAAAAGAAACTATAACGTTAAGATACACAGTTAAAAAAACAAGGACAGCATCTGTTTCAACTTCTAATTATTAGCTAATACAAGATTAGATTGAAAGTACTGTGTTTGCTCCAGTGGTTCCAGCGTTAGACTTTTTCGCTGTCCGTCATTTTGACGGACAGGATCGTAACATTTCCGTCATAATCCATTATTATCTGTCATTTTATTTTTCACGTTTTAATGATGAGATGAGACGTATTTAATATTTATGTTTGGGTACTGAGCAGCAAATGTTCATTCATTCATGTTTTAATGATTCATCCAGAACTTCTAAGGGCATGGAGAAACAAAAAGATGAACAGAGACACCGACCGTGTGGACACTTCTCATGTCAACACGAACATGAAGGATTTCTTTGTTCCTGCACTGACGGCACAGCAGGGGGGCAGAGGCCGCTAACAACACCACGACCATTGTGCCTCAACAGGCAAATATGAACAATGCCAGCGTTTTAAATGAGACAACAATCAGAATATGAACACAACATGTACAAGAACAACTCAATTGACCTGCTGTAGCCTGAACGCTGATCTTCTGCATCGCCGTGCACCCTCGGAGAAATCCGTTACTCGTCTTAGCTTCTCTACAGATGTCGCAGAACATTTTGCCATCTTCCCTCCTCAGCCACTCAAACTCTTGCTCCCACTGAACCCGGTACTCCCGCTTGAACTCCTTGCCACTTGCTTGCCCTTCTGCCGCTGGCTGAACGTTGTCAGTTTTAGTCTTACTGGCTTGTCCTTCATCCTCCACCGCATCAATCCCTCCTTTTCACCTCGTGTATCCGCACCATCACAACTACTGGGCTTATTAAAAAAGCTTCGGACGATCAGCTGCCGTGACATTTTGCGATTGCTAAAGCCGGTTAAACAACGAGGTGAAAAACAAGACTAGACAATAGCTACTTAATATACACACACTCGCCACCAACTGGACAGGGGTGTGAATGACTATAGTTACAGTAGATCGCCCTCAGTCGACCTGGCCACTAAGGATGTAATATAATGTGGGCCGCTGGTGGACATTTTGACGCTGTTCCGAGTTGTGTTCTAATCTGTCAAAATACTGCTTTCAGATTATTCCGTCATCGTTATAAAAAATCCGTCATTGACGTAAAATATTCGGGTAACGCGACGTCTGGTTTGCTCTGAATTTAACAATATAGAGTTTGTGTGAGCAGCTTGTGAACTTACCGGAGGGAGACATGTATTCAGCATTTGATTTGCAAACCACCTGCACAGGTAGACCGCACATCCTGAGGTACGCCTGCACAGGAGAATCAAACAATTAGTGTTAAAGCAAGACGGTAATGAGCAAGAAATGATCTTTGAAGTCATCTATAAAGTACTACACACATCTACAGATAGGTATGATGCATAAAGAAATAAACATCCTGACAAAATATGCTGATACACACTTTTGTATTTGATGGAAATATACAGAAACAGTTTTCACCTGAACAGCAAGAGATGAAGCGCAGTCTGACAGCAGAATCTGATCCTCTGGAAAAACAACAACAACAAAGTAATGTAAACAACTACAGAAATATCTGGACCAGAGGCCTGTACGACGAAGCCGGTTCAACATAACCTGGATATGTTTGAGTTACCCGGTTTACCTAATCCAAAACAAACGCGCTCTCGCTAAGCAGTCCTACGACGCTGGTTATCAACTCGTTAACTCGAGCCAGCTTTGCCCTTTCTAGTTATGTGCACGTTCACATAAAAGGGGCGTGGCTAGCAACATTTGACCAATCACAAACATGGAGAAGCGTACTGACAACGCAGGGTCATACTTCCAGAATGAAAAGTGAACTATAATATTAGACATATGAAGAAGTTAAACTTTAAACATCCATGACTTAAACACTTGATCCAGGATCAAAGCCACAGAGCTGCACCTGCAAGGTGAATACAGCTGGTAACAGAACAAGTGTTTGAATGCGTACATTAACAGGTTTATGATATCACTGCCCCGTCTAAGACACGATCTGACTTTAATTACATTTGTCTCGAGTGTTTCGTCAACTTAATCTGTTGCTTAAAATAATACTTCTGCATACAGTCTGTGACACTGTGAGTGTTGCACGGCCAGATACGGCTCAGCTGACTGAGATAAGGAAATATATGATACATTATGAAATGATATGCCGCGGACTGTACTTAATGTTACTCTGATCCGGTTACTTATGTTGTGGCAGATATTCAAGTAAGCTTTCTTAACGCTAATGTTATAATAGTCAGATTGCTCTGAAGATGGAGGTGATATTCTATTAATGTTCACGTTCACACAGTCGGTGATTTTTGCCGGCCGTCTTTCCTGCAACGGCAGTTTTTCTGTATTTCCTTTCTCCTGTAATATGACTTGATCGCTTTAAACTCCGCACACTGAGCTCTGATTGGTCAGCAGGCAGTGCTTTCACTGAGTTGAGCTCTTAGCCTGCAACCTAACCTGCTCCGGACCAGGTTAGCTGCTCAGCATAAGTTACCATGGAGATCTAGCCTGCTAAGAAGAGAACCAGCGTCGTAGGACCGGAAACCCAGAGTTTTCCCTGAAGTTAGCCGCTAAGCGAAAATCCGGCTTCGTAGTACAGGCCTCTGGTGCAATGATTACATTTATTCTAGTGGTACATTTGCATTAAGAAAGGTCCATCTCATCTTATCTTAATTCCTGTGCAACAATGACATACTAGTGAAAAACATATATTTATTCTACTGCAAATTTTAAAGTCTAGTGTAATGCAAAATGACATTCCATCGATTTATTTTGTTCAATATTTTTGGCACATGTGTTGTTTAGCTGTGGTTGCTTATTTGTTGAAAATTGTATTTTTTTCTCGTGTTTTCCTGTGCCTTTAAATTTAACTGATCACTGGAAGCGCTCGGCCTAATCTGTACAATGACAATATATGCTTTCTATTCAAATATTTATACATTTTTCTAAATAATATTGTTCCTAGTACATTTGAGAAAACACACACTCACCCTTCAGTGGTTGGTACAAGGTGGCCGATTCAGGCCACGGCTCAGCAGCTGTCAAAAACAGACACAAATATAAAGAGATTTACACAATAATAAGGTGATATGATGGCTTATTAAAGAGTTAAAATGCTGATGAGTTTACATTCTCATATTTAATTGTGTAATACATTTAATTAAAGTTAACAGACACGCCTCCTAGAGGCAAAGACTATTTTCTTTTGGCTATTTTACTAAGCAATAACCATATCCAAAACATAATGTGTTATAGTATCTCAAAATGTCATATGTTCAATTACCTATTTAAATGCTGCTACTCCACGCCATGGATGGAGACTTATTGGACTATATTTTATTATGAATGTTTGCCTTTTCTCTATATTTAACATGGTAGCTACTTTATTATTGCTTGCCTTTTACCTGCAATGTCGCTTTTGTCGTAACACTGTACATTTTCTGGGGGACTAATAAAGGAATGATGTGTTTGCTCATGTGTAGCTCAGCTTAAAAACTAGTGCATTTCAGTCATATATCGTCAATAAACTTGCTAATCAGACGAATTCTGAAACTGAAAACACTTCAGGAGGCAGGTGAACTTCTTATAAACAGTTCAGGGAGGGTCAAATGAATGTCAGGGGTGTATAAAGTTACATAAACACGATGTTCCGTGATGTACTATCGGTACATGTCATTAATCTCTATACAACTGACGTAAAATCCAAGATGGCGCTGATGTAGTTCTTCTATCTAGCTGCGCTCACTTCTGCCTCTAATGGCGGGAAGTTGTTAACGTCTGCCTATGGTTCTTAACGGTTAGTCACAGTACTGCTTTCGACCACCAGTGGCAGCACTGAGCACAACAGCGCCAGTCAGCACTCAATTTGATCAACGAAGAAGTTATTCGCTCATCCTGGCTCTGACGTCAGTGGTTTACATTACTATTTAGCCGCACTTAGTTAAGAGTAAATCGTGATTTGTAACTCCCAAACAATGCTGACATCGACGTTAATCCACCTGAACTGTTCCCGCTACACTTCTCCATCTTTTCTTTGGTTTGTACATTTAACATTAATCCGTTATAAAGCAATAGTAGAGTTGTAATCCAACAATACATGCTTTACAGAGGTAGCCGTTTAGGACACCATACTCTTAGCTGATTTGACAGTCCTCCTGTATGAAAGCTAGGCTAACTAAGCTAGTTTTTCCTACATAAACTGATACAGGCGGACAAGGACAACCATTGTTACTGTTATGACAGAAAATCCCTTCTAAATTAAACTACTATGGTCACGTATGTGTAACGCAAGCATGTAAACGGTAGCTTATGCTAGCAGGCTAAAGCTATCTTGATCCTACACTAATAATAATACGCTTTATTTGTATAGCACCTTTCATACACGAATTGCAGTCCAAAGTGCTCCACTGTAGACTGTTTACATCTCTTAAATTAGTCATAGCAAATGTATAGAAAACAAAAGACACAGTAATAGACACACATAAATAATAGAAGCAAAGTCAACGGCTTACCTGCCATCTGCGACACGAAGGCCTCTGCCGCAAGAGACATGGTGACGCTTATATTTCCTTATGGATTCAACAATAGTTATTTAATTTAAATATAAGGTTATTTTCACTGTATGCGAGTTTAAGGGCAAGTGCCTGTTATGCTGTCACCGACTGGTCCGTTCGTGATTAATGTCCCGAGGAGGAAATGTAACTCAGATTGTTTTCAGTTCCGCTTTACGCATGAGCTGCAGATGTTGTGAATCTAGCTGTGTGGAATAGGGAAAGCTAATTTTCTGTCGTATTTATTTATCTTTATTCAGTACATGATATGGTTTGTGGCATTTTATACTACAGGGTTAGAAAATACCTGAAATCCCCATAGTGTTGTCCAATAACACTCAACCGCAAAAGTACACTTACAAATGTTACATTGAGGATTGTAACCTTTAAAAACAGTAGTGTTTTATTGCTGGTATGTTTCATGAATATGTGGATATTGTTTTATCACTTCATGACAATAATCAAATTAATCGTAATCAAATCCAGTTATATCCCACTCCCACTGTTATACAGTCCAATTGTTCTATTCCAGGGGACTTCCTAACTAATCGCATATGGGTCAAAATCTCCAAATGATTTGACACAAGTATAAAAGATGGACATTTTGTGCCTTTCTTTTCCAGGCTGCAATAATGACAGCAACCAGCAGAGAGCGTTCCTGTTTCTCCACAGTCAGACTGCAGGAGGCAGGTTTGTGATAAACAACGTCCACCAAGCACTAGCACAATTCGCGTTTGGCGTTTAACAAAATAGGAAGAGTTGGAATTATATTCAGAAAACATAGCCTTGAAATAGAGCCTGTTTTGCACTCTGGTAATATCCAAAGGCTTCATGCACATCAAGTGAATTTATCATTTGTTTTTCAGGTTTTAATTTCGAATAGAATGTCTATAATACCTATATCGATAAAGGTGTTAATTGTTGTGTTTGAAGCATATCACACACATATATATTCAACTGTTCACAACATGGGATCTGTGTACAGCAGAGCACAGCAAGTCAAACACCCATCACCTCTGTGGGGCCACAATCTCCAATAGCAGGCTGCAGGCATGAAGAGCATCAATAGCTTTCTATCTTTGGTTGGAGTGTTTATCTGGTATTCAGTTGGTCTGACTGGATCTCCAGCATGTGATAGATATGCCATGTTGTCAACCCCCGTTGTGCCTCTCGTGCACGTTTAACTCGACCGGAAGCCACCAATTAATGTCTCTCGGCGCTCATTTCCCTTGCATCCACCCATTTGAACACACACACACACACACACAGCATTTCTTTCACCTCACGTATTCCTGCTCTGTGCGTAAACAATGCGTAAAATGCGCATATGGCAGCCTTTGTATATTTCTTATATTTAAGATCCTCCGAATGTGGTTTTCAATAATATGGAGACGGTAATAATAATGCTAGTATATGTGTGTCTATCATAAAGCCTATACTCCTGACGTTACTTTATCCCTGTCTTGGCTTTTGGACAGCAGTTAAAGCGATCTTTCGTTTTGATTAAATATTAGGGATCAGCGTTTATCCGCGGAATAATTCGCAGCATATTTTAAATCCTCCCACGGGAGGAAATGTCCACATTTAAAAAGCTTCTCAGTAGACATATCACGGCTTATAGATCGGTGTCTTGGCTTACCTCAAGTGGCATGACGCTCCTGGGATCGCAATACTAAAGTTTATATTGAAAATGTCTTTACTCTTCAAACACATGTTGATCCATTTTCATTAAAGGGGATTGTTTTTTACCCAAAAACTGTTGGATTCGATGTTTGTGAAAAATATTAATGAAATGTGTCTTAAATTCATAATAATATATGTTTGTGGCACGTGACTTTCATGGATCATCCAGTTGTGTGTGTGTGTGTGTGTGTGTGTGTGTGTGTGTGTGTGTGTGTGTGTGTGTGTGTGTGTGTGTGTGTGTGTGGTAATAACATCGCAGTTTTGTAGTTTGAAACATTTTTTTATTATTGTTTTTTTAACTTTTCATCATCTAATATCTTATCAAAACATTTGCACATATAAAATTCTTACACAAAGAGTTTTCTTATTTTCTTCCCAAAGATTACCAACATACAAAATATAACAGAGAGGCTTGCTGCTAAGAATACAATATGTTTCTAAGTAATACAAATAACAAATAAGTACTGGCGTAGGCTAATACAAAACGATAGCATATTAAACTGGAATCAAAGCGAGGACATATTTAAAAAATGCACCATTTCGTTATTTAAAAGAGAGTCATTTGGAAACCTCTCGGTGCTAAAAACAAACAACAAAAGCTTCAGAAAGTCGTGTTTATTCAAACCCTGTAACCCTGAGGAAACACTTTGGAGTTACAGTCAGCGTCGTGCATTTCAAAACCTCTACCTCCAATTTCTTTATTTCTTGTGCGTAAAGATTTCCCCCGCAAAATAAAAACAAGTGAATTCACCTTTGGAGATAATCTGCACGATATGGCTTCTATCCTACAAACATTGCATTGTTTTTGGATGTTTCTGTACAAAGTAAAACATTATTTGACCAACTTCACTGCAAGTCAGCCACTATGTCGATGTGTTTCTCCTTTAAGCGCCAAACAACATTTTGGTAATGTGCATTTTCATAAGTTAGGCTATTTTCTCTTTTAGGTAGCTATTATAAAAACCCTGTAATGTGTTTACCCTGTGGAAATAAAACCCTGTTTTCTCCAAAAGACTCTCCAACCATGGCACCGTTCACCCCTACAAACCGGAAGTCTAAAAATGTCCTAAATGTCACCATGAGAGACGTGAGACCACTGGAGGTTAGCTAACCTAAAGACTCAATTAATTAAATATCAGACTAAAATTAGATGCATTCTTTTCATAACATCATATTTATGAACATTTAAAAGTTGGAATATAAAAGCAAATTTGAAAACCCCTAGATGGATATCCTGCTCTTTAAAGCACCCTGGATCAGTTTAGCATTTGCAGTTTTGGAGAGTTAATGCGCCAAACATACCGTTTGAATAGCATTTGGTAACCGAACTTGTACACTTTAAAACATATTGACAGAAAGAACGTCTTGAACCTGAACATTTAGTCAAACGGAGGATATGTCCATGAGAAACACATGTCGTGCCTTAGCTTGTTTTTGTGGATTTTAATGCACTTTTACGCGCATTTCCTTCCTCAAAAGTCAGTTCTGCTTGAGATTTGTTCCCAATGACGTCTTTTCATACAAATAGCATTCTCGTATTGTTTACATGTCCCCGATTACAATTCCTTTGAACGACAAACAACATTCGGTCAACTGTAGAAGTGTGAAGCAAATAATAACCGCATGAAGGAGATTTAAAAAGTACCGTAATGGTGGATGTGTACCCACATTTCTCTCCTGTCTTCAGGAGGTTTTCGACGCCTTTGCGGTACTATCACTGTTGTTGTTATTAGTGTCATTAGTGTTGTTGTTATTGATTTCCGCCGCCTTCTTGTTCTTGCTCCGTCCTTTGGTGTTGGGCAGCTTGTTGTCCTTCTTCCAGCGCATACGCCGGTTCTGGAACCACACCTTTACCTGCCGCTCGCTCAGACAGAGCACGTGGGCCACCTCCACACGGCGGCGGCGCGTGAGGTACCGACTGAAGTGGAACTCCTTCTCGAGCTCCAACACCTGCTGGCGCGTGTAGGCCGTGCGCATGCGCTTTGGATCCGGGCCCGTGTGGTTGGGATTAACTGCAAATAAAAATACATTAATAATACAACACAAATTATTATAATGAATAAGATGTTATTATTAAATATGTTTTGTATTATTAATATTATGTGTATTATCAAGATTATTTGTATTATTACAAATACAACAAAATTATAATTATAAAAACAGGGAAAGACAATTAAGGCCAGATATTTTTATAAGAGTATACATTAATTACAATATTAAAAGTTAAGACGGGGGAAAAGAATTAGAGCAAGATCATTTCATCCCGTTTTTTTTTATTCAATCATTTTCTTTTATTTAAAAAAATATATAACCTACAGGCATTTTAAAATGATATTTAAAAACAATTAAAATATATTGCAGATGTTATCATGTGGTCATTTTTTTGTGTGTTCATCTTTATTTGTGGTTGACTGGGAAGACGTCCAAGAAACGAGCCTTACTTTTAACTTGCTGCTCTTTGCAAAACCGCAGCGAACACACACACACACACACACACACACACACACACACACACGCACGCGCGCACTGTGGCAGGGCCATAAAACTTTATAGGGGTTGTAATTCTCTCTGACTCTCACTGAGATCATAAATAACTCGACAACAAAAACGGTGCTCACAAATGGACACTAGAACACAAGAAAGAGAGACAGTGAAAGAGAGACAGAAAGAGTGACAGAGAAAGAGAGACAGAAAGAGAGACAGAGAAAGAGAGAGAGAGACAGAGAGAGAGAGAGACAGAGAAAGAAAGAGAGACAGAAAGAGAGAGAGAGAAAGAGAGACAGAACGAGAGACAGAGAAAGAGAGACAGAGAGAGAGAGCTAGCAGACAAAACAAAACGTAAACATGGCCTGAGCTCTGTGCCTTCACAACCTCATCTGTTTACATCTCTCATATTTATTTATTATTACAATAAGCAGTATTTAATTTCAGTGTACAGTATTTCATTTGACATATTTTAAACTCATCTTATTCTGTTTTACTTGCATATATTCCCTTCTCCTGCATTACTGCACGATCTCTTTCACTCTTTTCCCACTCGGTTTCTTCCTGCACTTCTATTGTATTATGTATTCGTTTTATCGTTTTATGCCATATTTCCATGTTGCATTGTTGGAGGAGCCTGGGACTTAAGATGTTGCCATAACACTAGCTGCTGTGTATATGACAATAAAACATTTGAATATAATTGGACTGAGGGAAACTGATACAGAGAGGATGAAGAGAGGGTTAATTGGAGATAGAAAGATCGAGGCTGTATCTCACCATGAGCGATGTGCACTTTTTTCATCCACGGGTAGACAACAATAGGCGGCTTGTCCTTCCCCTGGCAGGCCGTTTTCCTCTGCACCTGAGCGGGCTTTGTACAGGTCATCCAGGCCTGGCACTGCAGCTCCCCCACCGAGAACCGGGCCTCCTTCCCGGGCACCTCTGCCTCCCTGTAGCCGGTGCGTAATGGCGCACCTTGGTGCAGCGTCTGGTCCTCTCCATCCTCCCGGCGGCGCCCCTGCAGAGAGTGATAGCCGGGTTGTTGTGGTGTGTATGTTGGCTGATATGTTCCTCCATAACTCCCACTGTCCTGAGGGTTGTTATAATACCCCCCTTGCTCACTAAAATTACTGTAATCTTCTTCACAAGGCGGGAACTGCGGCTCAGCGTATTTACAGCTCACCACGTAGGACTCCATGATTGATTTATAGCGAGGCTGGTAGGAGAATACTAATTTTTCTTTCTCTCCCCTCTCTCTGTCTCTTTCTCCCCCCTCTGGCATCCAGCCATCCTGCGGCTGTCAAATAGACGGACGGCCGCGCGGGACACGTGACCCCGCGGCCGGCCAATCAGAGGGGGCACTGCGGGTTGTTTATGTCAGACGTAATGGGATAATTTGAAGTAAAAAAATAAAATGTTCATTACGGGACTAATGAAGCTCTGCTGACGGAGAGGGATGGTTAAGATGAGATGTTTAAGGAATGGGAGAAATAGCTTTTTAAAGAATCCTATTTTTTATATTTCAATTTCTTCTTACACTTTTTTTAAATTGTTTTATGATTTATTTATCTATGTTGCATTGTTGGAAGAGCTTCAGCATGTAATTGCCAATACGCTGTGGCTATTGTGCATATGAAAAATAAAGCCTTTGAATCTTCAGTATTTGAGATATCTGCCATTTAAAGACTCTAATGTTCAAAAAAGGGTTGTTTTTAGTGATTTATATCCATCAATGTATCTATATATATCTCTAACGAGAGTTAGAGATATATATATATATATATATATATATATATATCTACCCATCCATTAATCTTTCTATCAATCTATCAATTTATCTAAAGACAGTACTAATGAAGTTATGCTTGGGGAAAGTGGTTGACAATAGATGTGTTTAGGCTTTGAAAAATGACTAAGATGCCCCAAAAAATCTGCTATTTGAAGACTATCCATCCATCTATCTATCTATCCATCTATCTATCTATCTATCTATCCATCTATCTATCTATCCATCTGTCCATCTATCCATCTAATTGTGCGTCTTTATCCCCCCTCCCTCAACCAGCACCAATTGAAAGCACTGACTGTAGATTTATGACTTAGCTGCCTGACTTTAACCCCCACACACAGATGGCCTGAAAATTAATCTGGCCCATATTGAGTGACCACATTTGGCCTTGTGACGAGTCAAAGGCTGGACAACAAAACCGAAAGGCCTCAAATAATAAGAAAGAGATAAAAGGTTCCCAGACAGTGACTAGTAGTTGGCTTTGTTCGGGCTGGGGTCACCTCGAGGTGTCCAACCGGCCAATGGGCTTCTTTTAAAATGCTTAGAAAAAGGATGCAAACGCCACAGAGCAATGACACAGGGCTGAGAAATTAACGCAAATTAAACAGAATCTTAACGGAAATACGTGAAGCAGATAAGTGAGGCACGTCATCCGTAAATATTCTTCCCTTATGGTCTTGTTTTTGTCCAAAATGCTGAATCAAAGTGCAGTGAAGTAAATAAGTACATTTACTCAAGTACTATTTGGTCTATTTGTACTTGAGTATATCATGTAATGCTACTAAATACTTATTGCCTTACATGTTTACACATTTATTGTACTTTTAGCTGTTTACATATAAAACACATGGCATTTTAGCATGCAGTACATTACTACTTTGACTTTTGATACTTTAAGTACACTTCTATACTTCTACTAAAGTAACATTTTGAATATGGGCTTTCCCTTTGTAGTACCAGAGTATCTACTTCAACCAAGGATCTAAGTACTTCTTCCACCTCTGTCAAAGCGTCTAAAATAATAACATTTTGCATTGTTTAATCGATTGTAAATCCGTGTTCAGGACTGCATGATGATTTCTGCCTTTAGCTGCAGCCTCTGTGTACGCCACAAGCTTTTTAATAAGTCCTGCAATGTTTTACTTCTGCGTAATACACTCTTATAAAGAGAGGAGGAAGGAGAACATGATTTTGCTTGGCTGAGGCATTAAAGGAGCTCATGCGGAGGGTGTAAATGGTTTGAAGATATTTGGCATGGTTGACTGAGTGCAAGTGAATTAAAGATTATATGGGCTTAAGGGCGTAATATATCTGATGTAATGAGTCATTTGTTCGGAATAGATCATAAGGAATGACTGCCAATGACTGGTAAGCTACCAGATAGGCGATAAAGTGGCTAAATCTCACTTTTATCTCAGCTTGAATGTTTTCTTTCCTTCTGTTTCATATTGCTCAGCACGTATGAACACACAATCTGAGCTGAATGCGTCCCTTGCTTCTCTTCAATAACTTCCACTGAGAAGCAATACACCGTATGGAAAGCACTTGTTTCTCCATTTCACATGATTTTCTACCTTTTAAAGGTTCAATTTCAAACATTAAAGCAAGATGATGCAACATTATTTATAACCAGGCACATGCATCACATGGGAAACAGACTTCAAATATCAACAAAATTCAAGCTATTTATTGTTGTTAAGCGTTGAATAAGAGGTGTGTTAGTCCATGCCATCAGTAGCGTGAATGTGTGCAAAGGTTAAGAAACAAAGGGTATTAGTTGTTTATCTGCAGCTCTTTAATAGAGTTGGCTGCAGACACATTGATGTTTTAATTAAGACTCAGCTGAGCGGACTTTAATACTTAATTAGATCCAGTGGTGTAATCACATCCTACTGTGTGTAACTCGACATGTGCAAATCATCCTGCTCCATTCGGGGATCAGTTTGCTTTTGGTGCAGTGGTGACGTATGTATAGGCTGAACTAGAAGTGAGCATCACAAGGGCATCTTGGACGAAAAGCCAATGGGATTGTTCCATTGGCTTTTGGAATATTGCAGAAAATAGGCTTTGGTGGGCAACACACATCATTCCTATTTGTTTTGATCAGTAGGATAAGCTCCACATATTAACACCACTTTTAAGATTTCAGCCAATAAAGGAACTCCAGCTCGGTCACATGACTTCACGTCACCACCGCTAAGCTAAAGGTGGCTAATGTTGGGCTATAAAGGAACTACAGCACGGTCACATGACTTCACGTCACCACCGCTAAGCTAAAGGTGGCTAATGTTGGGCTATAAAGGAACTACAGCACGGTCACATGACTTCACGTCACCACCGCTGAGCTAAAGGTGGCTAATGTTGGGCTATAAAGGAACTACAGCTCGGTCACATGACTTCACGTCACCACCGCTGAGCTAAAGGTGGCTAATGTTGGGCTATAAAGGAACTACAGCACGGTCACATGACTTCACATCACCACCGCTGAGCTAAAGGTGGCTAATGTTGGGCTATAAAGGAACTACAGCACGGTCACATGACTTCATGTCACCACCGCTGAGCTAAAGGTGGCTAATGTTGGGCTATAAAGGAACTACAGCTCGGTCACATGACTTCACGTCACCACCGCTAAGCTAAAGGTGGCTAATGTTGGGCTATAAAGGAACTACAGCTCGGTCACATGACTTCACGTCACCACCGCTAAGCTAAAGGTGGCTAATGTTGGGCTATAAAGGAACTACAGCTCGGTCACATGACTTCACGTCACCACCGCTGAGCTAAAGGTGGCTAATGTTGGGCTATAAAGGAACTACAGCACGGTCACATGACTTCATGTCACCACCGCTAAGCTAAAGGCTAATGTTGGGCATGATGGCGTTTAGACGTCTCTAGGCACTTGTTAGCATCCGCTGTTTTTAAATCCACCATTGGGATATTTACAAAACGTTAAAACACCTTTAGCTTGGTTTAACCACAGACCGTAGAGGTCAAGACAAGGGAACCAAAAGTGGTGAAGTGCTGACTCATTTTGAGGTGTTAGTACTCATTCCTGCACCTCTCTTTAGCAACAGTTGATGTGACCTATCCTCCGTTACCTCTGTGAAAGAGAGCGAAGCAAAAGCACTCGTACCAGTCGACCGTTGTTCACTCCTCTCCTTTTGATTTTGATGGATGGTTAGTCATCGCCCATAGACTCCCCTAGAACCCAATCTGTGTCTGAAGCAGCTCCGCACACATTCGGTTCTACAGGGTATGTAGGGGCGACGGTTCACTTCACGGCTCGCTGCTGATGACTTCTTCTCGCCGCTGACAGAGATTTACACTCACATGTTCGGTTGCTCTATGACTCACCGTTCAACAGACCCCCTTTCCCTTTGTTCAACACACGACGTGTCATTGTATAATGTATTGAAACCATTAGCGGTGCTTGTAGCATGTAGCTTTCTGACATCAATAACTCATTAAGGTACACCACATTAATTCTGATATATAAGTGTAATTACCAGGAGCTAAATCAAAAGAGGGCAAGCCACTGCTGTGCACAGCGGACAATGTGGATATCGGTTTTGTAAATCTGCATAAAATCTGTCTTGTAGCTCAGAATGAAACAGTAGCAGGAGTGTTTGTTCTTCCTCTTAGCATAACATGTAAAACCTCAATGCTAGAATACATTATATACCTGTTATAAACACAACACCAGAGGATACATTTGTCCGAGACACAGCCTTACTTGTTGGTATTAATTAAACGATATAGAGGTGTCATTCTTGTATTGATGTTGGATTAGCACTGCAATAGCATTTCTAATTAGTAAGTGACCTTGGTGGTGTATTAGCAACTAGCTATGTCATTTAGTTGCTTATACTGGATTGGAAAAAGTGCCTTAAGTCTAAATAGAAATGTAAAAACAGTAGAGATTAATGATTCGCTCCCTGGAAGAGAAACCGTTCACATGTTGGTTTTTCCACCTAGTAGCCTCCATGTATTCTGTTATTTTAAACATTTGATGGAAACCAGGATTCAGCATTTGGTAAATCCACATCTTTCACAACCTCACCAGCCACTGATAGGCTTTTAAGGAGCGCATAATGATAGTTGGTCATTTCCCAAAGTTGGTAAACAAGCCACCAGCTTCGACCAGCCGCAGTGCAAACGTGACCTGCATCGAGACGGTGGCTCTAATGGCAATTCAACTGAACTTGGCATATGGACAAAAATAAAGATTGCAATGCTAAGAAATTGGCCTCCAGGGCAGGTCTAACAATCTCATCTAGATCCCGTTAAAATACATTTACGATGGTCTACGGTCCCTAGAGATGTTTGTAATTCAACATCTGTCGTCTGTTGGTCAGGAGAAGCAGTAAAAAAAGGCTTGCAATGAAAGGCCATTTTACCCAATGTGACTGATAGTTGTTAGCAGTTAGCAGTTTTAGCTAAGCTACATATTAAAGGGTGCAATTTATTATGTATTGATTTCCATCCCCCTCTATTCATCAATGCCCACGCTCCAGTGATCATTATGGTGTTTCTTCCATTCCCAAACCTCACGTCTTTATTCAGTGTAATAAGGAACCTCTTTGACATTTGTGTTTAGGAGTTGCTGTGCTTGTGATTCGCTGTATAAGTTTAAATCTGGATGCCATAGGCAGAGCCTGTTTCCTCGCCTCGGGGCAATCTTCTGAGCTCTGGCAGGGGCTCATTTTTGCTGTTTACATTTACTAAATTCCCATGGCTGCTGTTTGAGTGCTGAAAACCCTGCCCTGAACCATTTGTTGAGAAAGCAAGAAGGCTTGGGTTGCACGGAGTTAGACGCCAAACTTTAGCGAGATTAGTTTCATGCAAGGTAAACACAGAAGAGTTTTAAACACTGAATCTTAACACATTGAATGGATTTGGTTTGAGTCATGGAGGTGTGGAGTTGAGAGCATCTATCTCGAGTATAGACTGTAGAGAGGTCTTTGCCAAAAAGCAGCTCGAACACCAAGAAAGTGGGTCACGTTGCCATTCTACATTTGCAATATGAGAGTAAAAACTAAACATGGAGACGCAGTGTTCGGTTGTTATCCTCCACACATCTGAAATATGGATATCAAGGACTTGTGTTTTTGCTGCTGTCTCTTATATAATCACAAATGATTCATATCTTAGACTGCACTGTCTTTTATTCTTGTATTTAATGTCTTGGTTTGCTTTATTTGTATTTTATTAAAGCTTTGAATTGCCTTATATTGAAATATGCTATATGAAAAAGCTTCATGGCCTTAGATGAAACATGCATTCATCTAATTCAGTGCAGGACTTTTACACCATGCCCATCGTGCAACCATACAAGGTCCTCCTATGAAATATTAAAAACACATTCATCCAAGATTGGTTTTGTGTAAGTAAACACAAAGTTGTTTTAAACATTGAACCGTAACAATTTAAATGGATTTGTTGAGTAATGAAGCTGCAGGCTTTCTATCTAAAAATGAACTCTGTGAACTTAAAGAGATCCCACATATAATCCTAAGGAAGACTATTTAATGCAAAAGAGTTTTAAACATTGAATATTTCAATTGAAAATGGATTTGTTGAGTAAAGCTGCAGTTTCTATATATTTGAAGTTGAAATGGGCACAAATCTGTTCAATTTGGGATTTTTAATCCATGCCTTGAGTCATTTGTTACACTAATTCCAGGCTAACTGTGTGCTGCTAGGTTTGAATACTATAATCATTGCTGCAGAGAATTGCATCACACACAACAACCATAGACCTCTGGGACCTCTTAAAACACAGATTGTTTTAAATGTTGAATCGTGGAATTTTCAACGGATTTGTTTCAGTAATGGAGGTTGCAGGGTTTCTCTATCTGCAGATGAAGTGGGAACAAATCTATTATATATTCAGTTTGGGATTATTAATCCACGCCTTGAGTCATTTTGTACTCTAATTCCAGGCTAACTTTGATGCTGATTTGAGGTTTTGATCCTGCAGAAATTGTGCACACACAAAAACCATAGACCTCTGTGAACTCACAATAGAAAAACTATGAAATGGTATTACGTTGAATATTAACGTTCTTAGTGGGTTTTGTTAAGTAATTAAGGTTTCAGGGTTTCTCTATCTGCAGATGAAGTGGGAAAAAACCTATTATTAATCTATTATATATTCAGTTTGGGACTATTAATCCATGCCTGGAGTCATTTTGTACTCTAATTCCAGGCTAACCTCTGTGAACTTTAAGAACAAGCTAATAGAGTTTTAAACGTTGAATCGTAGCACTTTGAATGGATTTGGTTGAGTGATGAAGCTGAGGAGCGTCTATCTGCATATCCAAATCCATTCAAAGCAGGACTATTAATCCATGCCTGGAGTTAAAAAAGGACTTTGACCTAAAACTTTCATTTTTCAGGCTAAACTGTGCTGCTCAATAGGGGCTTGAATACAGGAATCATTAGCTTGCAGCTCCTGAATGGATCTCCCTACATCTGAACTTTGGCGGAGTCCTTTTTAGAGAAACAACAACAACGGAGAGATGCTTCTTCTTTTTTTGAAAGAGCATTCTTCTGGGAGAATGTAGCCTAGCTGCCATCAGGTCGCGCGAGGGTCAATCAGAAGCGTTGACCGCTGCGTCACCGTTTCATTAGTCCTCGCGCGGACAGGGGACCATGCAGAGTTCACGCGGCCTGCGGGAGTCGCGAGCCCATTGTCTCCCCCCTCTTTCTCCCCCATGCATTATTCTTGTGCAAATATATACATTTAAAAAACTAAATCCACCGATGTGAGCGATTTTCAGATGTTCTTTTTAATCTGCAGCACATTTGAATAATAGCCATTTAATTATGCCTCATATTTTGCAATTATTGCCGACTAATTTATTAAATCAGCTACGTTTGAATTACGCTTTTTTTTTGCTTTAAATGGCAAATGTTCCTCTACTCCAATATTCAAATGCTTTATTGTCATTTATAGCGTAGTTTTGGCAATGAAAATACAAAATAGACATACAAATACATTGAAATAAAATGTACCTATCGGACATGCATCTTTCTATATGCCTGATTTTTTGCTTTATCGACTATTACATTGTTGGCTTTTGCGTATTTCCTCCCAGTTGTGATTTCAGAAGGCCACACAACCACATGGTGTTATATATGCAACCTCTTAATAAATCCCCTCTCCTCCCGGGCTGCTCTGCGGTATAAAGCCATTCAGATGTGGCTTTTCTTTCTTAGGGGTCGTTTCACTTTTTCATCTTAGACAGGCTGACCGCCGGCTCACCCCTCCGCCCACAGCCCTCTCCCGGGT